TGGTGATGACGGTGACGAATTACGGCGAAAGACACGTTCCAGACATTCGGGACTTCATCCAGGAGATTGCTTTAAAAAAAAAGTAAAAAGTACAGGTGAAGTGCAGGTTAGTTGGGTGAATGATCACCACTTCTCTGCATCATACTGAAAGCTAAATATACCTTGAAATGCATTTCTATGTATTCATTTGCATGGTTAACATCCTGTCACACCCGCGCTAAAAATAAATTAAAAATTAAACCTGAGCTGACAGGCCATCTGTGAATCACGAAGCACGAGTGCAAGGAGTCGACAAAGTCGACCTTCGCCCGGAAAACGGCATCGACGCGTTGAAAAGAATCGAGAAAGGAGGCGAAAGGCGATAGATATGCACGGAGAGAAAGGGACGAGCATCCGTCTCATCATTCCGTTCCATCAGCCTTGGTGCATAATTCAGGGACCTGGAGGTTCAAAGGGGATTTGGAGGCTTTGTTCGGGGAGCTCGAGAGAACGGACATGCACTCGAACGAGGAGCCGAGAAAGACCGAGAAGGAAATCGAATCGAGAAAAAGAGATGGATATCTTGAAGGACGTCTGCCTGGGAACTCCTGAGCCTCATGAAGAGTTTGATCCGCTTCGCGGTCACAACATCTTCCCCCTCCCCCCCCCCCCTACCCTTCGCCCCCTCTTTAATCCCGCCGTCGCTCGCTCTCTCCCTCCCCGGGGACGAGTGAGACTCCCCTTGCGGGCCTCCCGCAGGTGCATCCCCATCGGGGCATCTGCCTTCTTGCCAGAACGGATTCGCTCGTGGAGTCGTCGAGATGGTGCGATTCGCTGTCCGTGTCGAGTCCCGAGGAATATCGAGGAGACTCTCGAGTTTCTCGAAGTTCATCGGAGCTCGCTCGAATCCGATGTCATTAAAATCCTAATAGAGTAGACGGTCTTTGCTATGCTAATACGGGGAAGCAGGGACGGTAATTGAATGTCCTCAATCACCAGCCGAGCATGCACGACATTGAATTACCTCGTCTTGGGAGGACGGAGTTTCTAATTACTTCCACCGAATTGATCGCTCTTGTGTGCATTGTTAAATTCTCATGCTTCCGCGACTCTCCCAAATCCATCGGGGGATTATTCCCCTCGGTATTTCCTAATCCCGATGAGAGAAATGATGATGAGGAACCGGATGTGGAATGGATTACTCAAAGGCATTGTCTCGGATTGCATATATGCAAAGGAGAGGAAGACGATTAAATTAGCGTGTCTTAACGTTCCTCGCTGAAAACTAATTCTGGCCCCCCCCCCCCCCACTTCGGAATCTGCGCTTCATCCGAGGCGGAACGACCAGAAAGTCGAGTGAAAAAAGCTTCTCTGAAGCGCAGATGTTGTCAAGTCGGCCATTCAGCAGCTGGTGTGTGTCGGATTTCTTTTTTTTTTTTCAACTTTTCCTTTCCTTTTTCACCCAGACCTTTGGCGCCATGCCCGTCGTTGTGCATCGTTGGTTGGCGTCAGAGGGAAAGAGAGAGAGAGAGAGGGAGAGAGAGAGGGAGAGAGAGAGGGAGAGAGAGAGAGAGGGAGAGAGAGAGAGGGAGAGAGAGAAAGAGATGCATCTGACAAAAATTTGTATTTTAAATCTCGACTCTTCCAGGTTCCATGCCATCTGTCATGCCATCGTGCGAGGAAAGACTAACAAGAAGCGAAAAAGCGACGAGCTTCGCTACCGTGGACCCAGGTGAAATGAACCGAAATGGAAGTTGCACGATCTCGAGGGATCGTGCAACTTCATCTCGATGAGATGCACCGCCACACATCGAATTGAAGCATCTTTCGATGCATCTTTGGAATACCTGCACGGAGACGGGTCATATCGATCGAAGACGTCATTTCCCTATCGGCAGTGGCTTAAGAAATCGTGTCTGTCTTCTTGATAACTCGCTGGTAAAAAGCCAAAGCAGACACTTGGCCCGAGAATGCAAGGAAGACGAAGAGCATGCATATCTCAGGCTCAGACGGCCTGTCCACCCAGCTCGGGTCATCAAAGTGACATGGGGATTTTCATTACTCTTCCGCGATGTTTCCGGTCGCATATTTTTTTGGGAGAGGTCCAGTAAGGGTTCCAGGTCTGCGTTTTTCTTCGACCGTGAATTTCGTCGTGTTCGAGGCCTCTTGCACTTAATGGATCATTCACGTGAGACGAAGAGAGGGAAATGCAGTTTTGGATGAGTCGATTGCAAACGTTCCAAAAATTATCAGGAATTGCGATGAGTTCAGTGATGTGATTTGGTGTAGCGGTCGACATATCACCGTAAATGGAGAGAGAAAAAAAAAACTCTCCAAGTGTTCGTTGGTTAGGCTGAAATATTTCCAAATGTCAGTTTTTATTTTAAAAGTAGGGTCTGTTGCAAGAAACCTCCGAAAGCACAGAAAGTTGTGCGATGAAAATTCTGCACATGCAGAACTTTTCGACCAAACGCCGGCGAAATAGAGTTTTCCTCGAAAGCGCTCAATGGTCAGGAGACAACAGATGTTAAAGCGAGAAAGAAATTTCTCTCGAGATAAAGCTCTCGTGAACCGTAAGTGGGAAGATCTCCGGGACTTTCCTTTTTCATTTCCAGCTTTATCCAGTGTATCGGATCGAACAGGGGAGAGCGAAGAATAATTCATTCAGCCCACGTTCCGGGAGTGGTGGCATTCATTGTTCGGCCAATTTCCTCCTTCCCGTGCAGCCAGGGGAATTCGATTTCCTCCTTTTCTTGCTTTTTTTTTTTTTTTTTCCTCGATGACGACAAGGCAGGCGTCTCCTTGAAAATCTCATTTTGTCCTTGTCCAGCACTTCCTCAAAGAACTTTATTGCTTCTCTTTGCGGTCGATATAGCCAAGAAAAGGGAGAAGAGAAATTCCTTCTTCTCGCTGACCTGTCCCAGATAGACATCAAAGAAATGCCGTGCTGTTGCTTTTTTCTCCTTCATCTGCCTCTTTCTTTGCCTTTCGGTCTGTTGGAGCAAAAGATTGATGCTCTGATCTTTTCCCTTTCTTAGCTCCTCCGTTCCATCTCTTCGAAAGGGTTTCTACGATATATTTCGGGGCTGACACCAAGACAGATCTCGACCGGGAGAGAAGAAAATGGAGAGGAAGGGCTTTAGTATAATATACTACGGGATAGGAAAGAAGGGGGATTGAAAATGCATGCAAAGCACGTCGTTTTGCCCAGCCTCGAAATGGCATTCCTGGAAGAGAGAGATATCAAAGCCCCACCATGAGATCCTCCCTTGACGCCATCCCCTCTCTTTATCAGGAATTTTCTGGCTTTTCCAAGGAAGATTTGACATGTCAGCTGGAAGTCACTTGATTAGTCCATGCACGAAGATCCTCTGGGCGGGGTGGAAAAACATTAGCGCTGCGATGAGTCAATTCTCATGTTTCTTCATACCATGTACAGAGTACTGTAGCATATTGTACTGTACGTACTGCACGTAGTGCAGGTACTGCACGTCCTGTAGGTACTGTACCTAATTTTTATATTATTATTTTTTCATTCCAAGAAATAGCTTCTTATCAGAAAATACAGACAGAGACGTCCACTAATTAGTTTCACTCTCGATTAAGATGGTATTGTCTGCCTTTTAAGATCCTCTCACCATTGTACAACCTATTTTAACTAGGTTCTCTCTTCTCGCTCCGTATCTTCAATGCCCTTCTCTCATGATGCTCGGATTTTTGTTCTCTTCATACTGGCTGTCATTTCGAAACATGAGCCCATAAGAGCATTCTCGAAAGAAAGATTGTTCCATACTTCGATTCTATTATTAATTCCCTTCAAACGCTTTAAGCAGGTTCCTGATCCCAAATCCTATGTCATTGGAAGAGATACAAAATATTTTAGACATAATTGCATTAGGAAAAAGTTTTTATTGTTATGAAGAGCCAGAAATGAAGGTACCGAAACCCCTAGTCTTCTCGTAGGTTTATTCTTCTCTCACTCTAGCATGACAGGTTCATCCGGCTCAGAATAGGGGCAGTGACCATTTGCGCGCTTCGTGCTCCCCCATGCGCTCAATTGCGCACGTCAAGATTTTCATTTGGGTGAGAAACGTAGCCCATATGTGCACAGCTAATGCTATCTCCAGTCGACCATTTGTGCACACAAGAAATTGCGAGAACATGAGAGAGGCATCCAAAGCTCAGAGCTGTGAGACTATTCGATCTGACATTTTGTGCCTGGGAGGAAATGCCGGGTTACTGTTCAGTCCTCTCCAGTAAAAGTCCCTTGTCATTAAAATGGAAAGGATTAGAATAATTGCATCAGTACCTAGGCAGGAAATCTTTCATTTTTCCTTAATGAGATGCCTTCATTGGTGTAACTTCCCGGAGTTTCCTGTCTTTACAAAGAACCCCTGTCCTTGCAGTCGCGATCATGAGGAACAAACGCAACCACTACGGTTTTCTTGTTTTCAGACTGAAACGTAGCGCTGCAGTTTTTCTTTGTACATCGCCATGTGATGAAGTCCGCGGTGCTTGGCAAAACAATCGAAACTTACCATCTTCCATGGTCCGTTTCCAAAAGACTCCAAAAAGACAAAAAGAGCAGAAAGACGTATTCACAGCCGGAATTCCCTTGTTCTTTTTAGCAAGCCGTGAAAGGTGTGCGCAAATGGGTCTATGGTGATAAGGATACGATCAAGGGCATGATAAGGGATTCGTCATTATCTGTTTAAGCCATCAAGGAAAGTTGAGAAAGTGTGCGGAATCGGATAGCAACGCACGATAGGATCAGGGTTCACGTTAACTCGCAATAGCAAGTCCCTGACTCGTATTTTCTTGGAAGGACTCATATTTGCAAAACACCTAAGTCCGTTGGACTCATTTGACAACTACCTGAGCATGTTCCCACTGAGCTGAAGCTAGGCGCCAGAACTTAAGATATAAAAAAGCTAGTGTGAACCCTGAGGATTATTTTAAGCGGCCACCCTGTTGCGAGGATAAAGTAATTGTAGGTTCAGTGAAGCCAGGGACGTCCGGAATTTGAAATAAGAGAATCATATAACCGTTTATTGTCTGACAAGCCCTGCGATAAAACTCGGATAATGAAACCCCTAGAACACCCAGAGTGGCAGTGGAGCATTATAAGCCATCGGAGGAGAGGTGCTTGACCTTTTGACCTATTGACGTTTGACCTTCTTGGTCTTGGGAGTTTGGACATTCGGAGTCGTCTTATCACCCCTGACCTCGGGCCCGCTGCGGCAGTGCATCTGGTAGAAGACAACGGCGGCGAGGACGCAGATGGCAGTCAGCATGCTGGCGTATTCCGCTCTGTTGGCGAACGGGACGCCGCAGATGGTGTACCATTGGTAATAGTTCGGGGGAGGGGCGCCCCCCGGGGTGCAGTGGAAGTCGAAGTAACCTTCGTCGTAGTCCGTCGGGCAGAAGTATTTCCGACGCGGCAAATCCTGCATCATTCCCATGCATAAACAACTTGATTTCATGGTTTGCAAAAACAATGAGTAAAAACATGAGTTTGAAAAGAACGATATTCAAATTTTGCATAGGTATTCTAAGTTGATTGCTACATGGATAATCAAATATGCTTTTTGTTCTATAGCTGCTAGGTCCAACGCCAAGAGAAACAATAAAAGTGAAAACTGCCGCGAGGCTCTCTCCTTATGAAATGGAAAGAACATCTGAATCTGTCAATGTGACGAGAAATGAAGAAAATTTTAGGCACAGTGAAAAACAAAAATCGAACGCTTCACATCTTTCGAGCTGGTACTCTTTCTTATAAGTTCTTGTCCTATGCGCGTTTTTTTTGTTGTACTGTGCCTTCTCGAGCTGGTATCTTCCTTTCTCTTCGAATGCGTGTCCATCAATTTAAAATAAGCACGTGCGAAAATGATCGATGCCTAGTGACATCTGGCTGAAATTGAATGAGGAAGGAAGTATAGATGTGACTCACCATGCCGAAGGCAGTTCGGATGTACTCTTTTTGATCGCAGGGTCCGGTCTGCTCGTGCAACCCGACTGAGACTTCCCGCTCCGGGTGACCGAAGGACGCCATCCACCAATAAAGCAAGTAATGGGGGATCAGGTGGAGGAAGATTTCGATGCTCGGTCGCTCGTGTTTGCACTTCCCCCCGACGGGGCGGGACTGGAGGGCTCCCTCCGGGTGCCTGTCCGCGCACCAGATCAGGAGGAAGAAGACGATGAAGAGGATGAGGACGCAGTTCTCGGTGTGGATATTGAAGATGTCGTGGAGGGGGTGGTAGATGGGGAGGAAGAGGAGGATTCCTCCGGGCATTCCGCTCATTCCGGCCAGCACCGTACACAACAACTCCTTCCATACGCTAGCAATAAATTAATTAATTAAATAAAAAGCAATAATTAAAAATGGGAAACTATAAACATTAGGGAGGGGACCAGAAGTGGTTCTCGGTTTCAATCCGACACGAAATTTCTGCGCTACATTCATCAACTGCATCAAAGTCATGATGAAAGGCATCATTATACCTGTATGTTGCGTATCAATTAAATGTATCAACTTTTCTCATCCTCCATTGTCAGCTTCATCTCAAGGAAAAATTCCTCGCGAGACTCGGTTCCAGTGACAAACTGCGATTCCCATCTACTTGAGAGCATCACTTAGCCCGTATTAGATGTCTTTGGCAGCGTAGTATAAACTTAGTCCCTTCACTTATTAAAGATAGAATCAATGCCAGAAAGCTATCCAACTCCTACACCTTAAATGTCTCTCTTAATTCAACGCTCAGGCTAGGAATTTACTGGCTATATCCATGACAGTCCTGTGCCCAGGTATACCCAGGACAGTCCACGCCCTTCTTATATCCAAAGCAAATCTCCTTCATCCGATGCATATAAATAATAATTTATTTATATGCATCGGATAAATAACAATAGCAATAATAAATAACACCAGACTATTGACTAACTGATCGAAAGTCAGTTGAAACGATACAGAAGAAGCGGAGAAAGAGGGGCGGGCAGGAATCAAACTCAGAATGCTCGACTTGCTGTGCGGAGACATAAGCCCTCGGACTTAAGTCCTAAGCTATCAT